ACGCTTTGGTAAGACTTACAACCCTTACAAGGGTCTCAATTCATAACTATTTTAGGTTACCACGATCTCAACCAACCGCGGGTTTCTTCGAACAAAATTTGTATTTGTGACGCGAACGGAAAACAGATCACCGCTCGATCACGTAGTCGGCGACAGGCTGTACAACCAAACGCAACACCAACCGCAGCACCAAAACGTACGCTGGATCGATTATCGATTGAATCGATTAGTCATCGCAGTAGTGCTTCTCCCCCATTCTAAATGAATCTTTTTGAAGCAAACGCCATGGAATGCACGGATATGGTTGTTGGATCAGTAGTAGATGGCCGCGGACGAGTACGAGACTTCTACTCGCCGTCAAAGGTAGGTTCTGAATAGCTTCAAGCTCACTTACTGTTCGGCGGTGAGCGCCACTAGTCCATGCGACGCGTTTTGTCGCACGCGGCGATATGAAACGGGTGGTACTTCACCCCCTAGTGGTTTTGTGTTAAAGAGCGGCTCACCCCTTGCAATCATTTGACCCTAGAAGTGTGGCTCTACGTACTCAGGGATGAGGTTCGTCCCACAAACTTGTGCCGCTCTTACTAGAACGTTCGCGGGCGCAGTTTCGGCGACAAGGGGGGGGGGGGCATTTTGCACTTTCGTTGCTTCACTAGTTCCGGTTTACAAGTCTCACTCTGGTGAAACCTGTGAACTCTTGTGAAGCTGGAGCAAGCTCGTCAAGCCCCATGGTGAAAAACCTATCTAGAAGAGGCTGTCTAGATGGGCCAACACGTCAATGGGAAGTAGTAAGAGTGCAAAATGTCCCTTCCCCCCCTCCCCAAACTGTGCCCATTTGCGTGGCGAGTGCAGAGGCGCGGTGTTATAGGTGGCGTCGCGCAATTTTAATAGGCCGCGTTCACACTTCGCGGCTCAGTCGATCCAATCGCGCGGTTATCGATTCACACGACAGCATCACTCCAGTCGCAAAGTACTGAATTTGCAAATGCTAGTTCAGTCACACTCGGGACAGAACTTCTGATATTCTTTTGAACAGGTGCAAGGATCAGCAGAAGAGCGCGGTTGCTCGCGCTCATCGCAAAGAAAAGAGAAAATCGCACAAGGGCGAGATAAGAACAGAGCCTCAGGGGGGCATGGCACCATTCCGAAGTCGCCACGCTACGAAAGAGGCATCGCAAGCTGGACCATGTGCCCGTGATTTGCGCTAGGGCCCAATCCACTCAATATGTCAAGCCTGCGGTGTATCTACTCCTGTGTCTGTGCCTCTCAAGTCAATTGCTAGGAAAGGTGCGATACTGTGACTCAGAAGTAATGCGAAGGTGCTGCAGTATGCCAAGTCAGATAGCCGCGAAGTGCTAGCTAATTTCCGTGTGTCGTCAAAACGACGTGGGTTTCCTCGCCTGCACTATGGTACCGCGTTGGTCGGGCACCCGCACGCCAGCGCTTCGGCTATGATCTTTCCATGACCAGAGAACCATTCCTCCACTTATGAGATAAGACCCCCTTGAGTTGATGATATGCCTGAAAAAAGCGATGTTGTCTAGGAGGTGAAGCGCTTCGGCCGAACAAATGTTGGGGGTGGGAAGAAGCTGTCCGAATGTGTTTCCTTTGCGCTTCTGTAAAAGATGTTCAGAAGAGAGCTCGTGTCCTAGCCAACACCCTCATTTTGCTTTCTGGGGAAAAAAATCTCAAATTCGCTATGATTATATGGTCATTACGCGTTCAAGTATGGCCACGTTTACCAGCAATTTGAAGCCACGGAGCAACAAGCCTTCGAATCACACCTTTTTATTTCTTTCCCCTTTGAAATCCCTCTTCAATTTCAGGCCACACCGCGGCCAGACTCGTTCTTTGGTGGATCTGATTCTCTTACTGCTGCTGCAGCATTCAGAGAAGACGGTATCACAACTGTTGTGTTCCGGAAGAAACTGCAAGGTAACATCACCCCATGAATATCTTTCTTCAAAAAAGCTCTAGGGAATCCTTTCAATTTCAGCTGACGATGAATGGGACCATCCTATCAAGGGACCAATGACGGTCATATGGGCGAAAGGAGCAGACCCAGATTATTACCAGCATACAACTGGAGGTAAACCAGAATTTTTGTGTCCTTTCTGTCACGGCGTCCAGCTGACTAGTGCGATATGCAGGGGGTAAAACATTTGTGGATTTTCCAAACTAGATCATGCGGGCCAGGTAGGGTTCATGGGAAAATCGTAGGGTTTCATCTACGTGCAGCTTGCGAAATTCGCTGTTTTTTAAAGGGGTAACAGCCTTGACACATTGAAAGTAAAAACAAATAAATAGCTAGAATGGATGGATATAGGCGATACATTCAGAGTCAAAAGGGCCCATCAACTCATGTCTGAGCCGCAGAGGCGTTTTTCGCAGGGGGAAACGGTCAGGGAACTCTAGCGAAGGTGAATGTCCGAGATGGAGCTTCCTAGTGGCGGAAACAGAAGGTCCTCAATCTGAGAGTTTTCATGGCTAACAAGTATCACTTGCGAAAAGTGGCCCGCAGTGCTCGTCCCGCTGACCGTGCTCAAGAAACATGCGAAACCGCTATTTCGGAATGGATTTGCCGACGCAGTTAGGCATGGTGAAGGCACCAAATGGTACCCAACGCAGCCTGTACAGGTTCACTTGTGGAGATCTTAAATTCATGTAATTGAATTCTTGTTCCTGTAAACCAAAGGGGCTCGCTTGCACATTCCGCAGCTTTGCAAGAGTTCATAAGTCTCGCCAAAAAGAGATTTGTTGTTTACCATGAACTAACAAGTGGGACTATCGCGATGTAGAATGTCCTCTCAATCCAAATCATCTGTGGGCCCTTTCACTTTTGCCATCCTGGCCATTCTTTCTGTTTGAAGTGACTCTAAAAAAGAAAACAGGATTATGAAAATATGGACGTCTTGAAGCTCCTTTCAGGCACGCCAATCAAAGCCGATCCGGACTTTTTCATCAGTAACGCTTTCAAATATCACGGCCGTAATCAACGTGGATCGTTCACGATCGACTTCCTCAAAGGTTTTCATTTTTGTGATCTTTATTGTTTTCACGTTCCGCGTTAGTCGCATAGGCGGAGACCTGTCCCTACCACTGCATCTCCTTCATGACATGATGGAGATACAGTAGTATGGAAGGAGAATGATGTGTAGGCCGCTCTCCGCCCATATGGCGAGTGTATGATCTGATCTAAAGAGAAAACGAGGCGGTTTCGTAGCTTACCATTAGTGACTAACCGGTTATTTCAGAGACGCCAAAGAAGGAGAAACTCAAACACGGTCTCCACATCGATGCCTCTACCTGCTCGGGAAGATTCTCCTTCCCAGCCGATTGTGCTGAAAGTGACTCTGAAACGCCATGCCAGTACGTGTTGAACTGGATTAGCGATGGTGAAGTGGCCAGATTCAGCGTCGCGGTTAGTTTTCACGCTTTGGATGCTCACGGCATCTCCAAAAATCATAAATTTCTAGGCTATAATGAAAACTTCTCAATGGGTTGCCATCGGCTTCTCCTCTGATGGAGGAATGGCCGGCTCAGATGCGGTGATCGTTGGAATTCAGAAGGATGACGTGATCACCGTCACCGATCAGTTCATGCCCAACTATGGCCGTCCGATTATTGATGAACAACAGGATATCTTCGATGTTGAGGTATACTGTAGTCAAATTCAACTTATTGTTGTTTATTTGTTACTTTGATTTGGTTTACTTTTTTGTTTTTTTTTACTTGACTCTATTGGAAAGGTACTTGTTACAGACGAACTACGAGGAAGGACTGCTCACAGCCAATTTCTCTCGAGAACTGTTCAGCGATGATAAGAACGACGTCAATCTACAGAACTGTGTCCATCTGCTGTTCACAACCACTGCTAGTCAGATTGAACCAACTGGAGAGATTCGTAAGCACGGAGAAACACCAATCGCCAGTCAAACCAAGGTTACTAATCTAAAGTACTGTAAAATTTTTGTAGTTATTACCCCACCGGTAAGGGACAGATGGTGGTGGTTACCACTCGACGGTTCAGCGCCTTGGATTAACTCTTGCTCAGGAAAGCCACGTCTCTCCTCCCCACTATCCAGGGTCGCTTATTTGATAACAAACGGGTCCCAGTGGATATATGTACACCTTTTTTTATCCCCGTTTCTTTCACGTCATTATACAGAGCAAATCGCATCAAAATGCCAAAACTTTGAGTGGAAGTGAATGTCTGGTGGAAGCGTGGACCAATATTAGAACGCCGGTCCTTTTTCCATTCTCCATCATTACACTAATATGGTTTCCAAAAGTTATAGTGCACTTAAAAACACCTTCAGCCCAAGACCATCCAGTCTCAACCCAGCGTCCTCTGCTTCTAGTGTCTAGCCCCTGCTCCTTTAGCCACGTTCAGTCCTGCTCTGCTCAGTTGGCCACATCCTGAGCTCGCGTTATTCTCTGGAACGAAACCACCAAAGGCTATTTATTACCTCAACCTTTCTGGAGGTAATTCCTAAGCCTTCCACATAGGGCGCTCCTCGGCTATTCGCAAGGCTCACTCCACAGGCAAAATAGAGCAGTGGATATATACCATTTTCACTTAAATTCACCACTTTTCAAACCAAATTCACCACTTTTCAAACCAAATTCACCACTTTTCAAACCAAATTCACCACTTTTCAAATCAAATTCACCACTCTTTTAGACCGGGCAGTTCACCAACCACACCACTGCGAGCTCCGCCTCGACGGTCACGCCTACTTGTCAGCGGTCATAGATTTTCAACACATCGACACATGGCCGACTCCGCCCATTCTTCAAAGGGTTTGTTGCGAACTTCGAAATTTCATAACTTTTTCAACTTTTTGATTTCACATCCACTCTTTGCACAAGACACTCGTACCCGCGCATTCATGCACTGGCAACTCAAGCTCCGCCCCTTGGCCCACTTGCTGCTTGCGGAATTTTGATATTTTTTCAAAATTTTTGCATTTTTGGACTGCTCCGTGAAGCCCCGCCCACTGTGAGAAGCTCCGCCCACTTTTCAAAAATGGTGCAATCGGCAGTATAGGGTCTCGTCCGTCACTCGGAACAAACTTTGCCTGATTTATTTGTTCCGAGTGACGGACGAGACCCTAGCATGCAAGCCAAGGCTCTATACTGCCGATTTGCACCATTTTTGAAAAGTGGGCGGGGCTTCTTCAAAGTGGGCGGAGCCTCTCATGGGCGGGGCTTCACAGAGCAGTCCAAAAATGCAAAAGAATTATCAAAGTTGTGCAAAAAGCAAGTGGGCGTGGCCAAGGGGAGCCTAAATTGCCAGTGCATAAATGCGCGGGTACGAGTATCTTCGTTGTGCAAAGAGTGGATGTGAAATTAAAAAGTTGAAAAAGTTATGAAATTTCGAAGTTCGCAACAAACCCTTTGAAGAATGGGCGGAGTCGGCCATGTGTCGATGTGTTGAAAATATGTCCGCGCTGACAAGTAGGCGTGGCCGTCGGGGCGGAGCTCGCAGTGGTGTCTGGCGTGATCTGGTTGGTGAACTGCCCGGTCTAAAAAGAGTGGTGAATTTGGTTTGAAAAGTGGTGAATTTAAAGTGAAAATGGTATAAATATGAACGAGGTACATACTAGGTGAATCGTAAATGGAGAATTCATTAGAATCCTCCGCTTAAAACAAGATTATAAGGTTATGGTAGCAGAGGATGTACAATACAAGAATTGCGCGTAAAATAAATGCGTCTGTCCTAACGCGCACGTTCAGATATACCGTAACCGCTGCGGTGCGGAGTCAATTCCTCAAGTTCGAGACAAGCGTGTTAGCCTGTGTTATACCGCCTTTAGCTTACGTTCTTGATGTGCGTTCCTGACGTGGGCTCTTGTGTGAAAAGCACCTAGGTGAAGCTGGGAAGCGAGGGCGACGAAAAGTCCTCTCCCAACCCACAGCCTAGGTCGTGGCGGCAATGCCGCGTAGGCGCGCAAAACGGGATGTTGTGTCTTCAGAGAGTTCGAGCTCACGCGATTTTAATGAGTATTGTAAACATCGTGTTTTCCTAAACTCCGTCGAGGGTATTTAAATAGTGTCCTTCTTTTGGAGGTGGGCAGTATCAGAGAGCACGAAGAGGTGCGAGACCGCTGTTCTCCTAGAGACATGTACTGTGCATACATTCCAAAGATGGCTTGCGTGAGTTGATGTATGTCAGCAGAAAGCCCCTAACACTCTTTTTACGTAACTGTTACTTGCGAAATTATAGCTTTTGAAAGGGCGGGCCTGCCCGCATCGTGTTCAGAAAAGACCGTACCTCTCAGCTCATAGTGGAATCCACCTTTGACAAAATGAAATTTCATGATGCCTGTCTAGTCTGAGCTTTACTTCAGGTATGCCTGAACACTTGCTCCGAGTTGCCAACGACGGTGAAGATACCGAAAAGCGGTGCGAAAGAGACCACCAAAACCATCACACAGACAAGCACGACAACGACAACAACTAAGGCTGCTCCAGTCGAGACAAAGACGAAGCCCACTCCCGTCCAGATGCCACCGATCATCAAGCAAGCTCGTGAGTTTCTTCAGACTTCAGGTTGAGATTCTGTCGTCGGGGATCCGAACCTTCCATCAGAGCCGAATGGCGCCCACAAAAGTTTCAGGTTGAGATTCTGAGGGGTAAGGGTCCGAACCTCTCGTCTACGCGGAACGGCGCCCACAAACTACCTTTTCATTCGATGCTAGCTCACTCGACATACTGCAGCTGCTCCACGTTGAGCTAGTTAGGTCCTGGTACGAAAGTCGCGCACGCGACGGTGCAGCCATGTCCCACGTCAGATCTAGACATCCAGTATCCGATTTCCTTTTTCTCCCCTCTTCAGAGGGGCCAAGAGGAGATGCTTACATTGCGAGGTGTTCAAATACAACAATATACAAAGACCTGCCAGCTCGGACTTTTGCAAGAATCTTACTGTGGTATCCCTTAGACCAGGAAATCGGCTTTAAAGCCGTCAAGCTGAGAGAATAGGGGACGGCTTCCGTGATGTAAATACTCGCATACTCTACTCTTCCGATGAGAGATTGTGAGATCAAAAATTTTGAATTCCAGCTCCATTCGTCATCTACGAGCCTACAGAGCCAATCAAGTCTCGTTATGGACTGCGTGTCCGTATTCTCAACAAGGAGTACGTTCCAGCACTGGCTGATCCACAATCGGAATACTATCAGAGCTTCACAAAGACTGTCACTGAGGCGGTAAGTAAGCCCCTTCACAGATAGCTCGTACTCTTACTATAATTACCAGTTTAGGTCAATGATTTGTTGGCGAAGCGATGGAAGGGAATGCGGGTGTCAAAGTTGATTGCTTACTCGAAAGGATCAGTGATTGCCGATTTTGAGGTAAAATCTTCATCAAATCTCTTATCCTTCCTCAATGAGCTGCACAAATAACCCAAAAATTACAGGTGGTATCAGTGGCGGATGTACCTCGCCCGATTGAGGTGAAGAGTCTCTTGGAAGAGAACGCTGTTCGCGGAACTATTGGAGGTTTATCGATCGAACCTAGCACAGTCAGGGCTCATGCTATTGGTACGCTTTGGGAATATTTACCCTTTGGGAACCATCATTCACTACGGATTTTCAGAAGCCCCAGCCGTGGAGGACTCCGAGTTTGGAAAGGCCTATGTGCGGAATCTGGTGATCATCGGAGCTGCAGCACTGCTTTTGATATTCGCCGTCACTTGCACTTGTTGTCTGCTCTGTCGTGTGAGGAAATCGTCGAGATATGTGAGTCTGTAGTTCCTTTTAGCACTATGTGCCAGTTTGCAATTTTTTGGCGCTATTGTCAGAGGGCTGGAGGTATTCGGCAGCGCCAGGGCAACCTTTTCTAAAGGGAGGCTTAGGCCTAGCGGAAGCAAATTATTCTCAGCGGGACTGTCTCTTCCCCTTGGCTAGTGTGCTCGTCTGCGGTCTAAGTTTGGTCTTGGTTAGAGAAAGGGGACGCAAACGAGCGGTTGGGTGAGGCAAACGTGTGACTTGTCGGTAGCCCACATGCTTTCAAGAAGGGGGGGGGGGTAGATGAGCCGGGATGAAAGGGACTTTTTACCACTATGACTCGCTCGGCCCACTTCAACCTTCTAGTCATATCAAGGGTTCTGTCCATCGCTAGGCCTTCCATTGTAGGAAACTGCAACCGTAACTGTGACCAGGCGCTTTTTTGTCGTGGAATTGCAGGGGGGGAGGTCTGCTTGGTCGCTAGAGAGGAAGTCGCATTGAGAAATGCTGTTCCACATGGCGATGATTTGATTTGACAGTACCACTACGGAAAGCTGCAGATTACCTCCTGTCGATGCACATTGCGCCTACTAATTCTTGAATTCACTTATCTGAACGAATTCCTAATATTTCAGAATTCCTACCCGGTTCCTCATCCAACTCCATACCTGTACGGAAATGGTAATTTCTATTCGAGTTTCATCCTAAGTCTGAATGTTTACACAGCCAGACCCTAACTACTACTTAAACTTATGCCAATTGGACTCTTCTCTCGCAACTTTCAGGAATGACCAAGGCTCCAGCTGGTTTTGATAACGCCGCATTCTTCAATCACCAACGGCATTACTCACAAGCCACGACAGCATCCACCAAGAATGGAAGCAGTCCTCAATCAGCTGAAGCTCGTGGAGAAACTCCAAGCGGAATAGGAGAAACCACCTACCAAGAGTGGTATTCTAAAGTAAATTTGGCAGCATTCCAATAGTTGATCAAGGCTCATCGCTACCCGTTCAGGTTGGATCCAAGCCAGCTTCACAACAACACGAAGAAGCTCCTGTAGCTGCAGCACGTCCTCCATCAACAACCCCATATGTCTCCTATCCAAATGATCCGTCCGGATATTATACACTGGGCGGTGAACATCGAACGGAATCAAGCAACAAGCATTTCCGATCTCCGTTTTGAGTTCTCTTTGAAACGTTTGTAATAATTTGCCATTACTGAGTACATAGGCTCTAAAGTATGATTATAATTATTATTGAGATATATTGATCGAGTTTTCTTTTTTGGATGTTTTTCTTTCTTCCAGTTTTACTGGTTATGTTGTGCGTTTGTTTTTTTTATTCATGTTTTACTACTTATCGTTGCTTCTGCCAGCTTCGAATTGATCACGGACGAGAATAGTAGGGTGCTTAGTGTGATCTTTTTGCCTTGTCGACCATTCCCCTGAAGTCTTCAGTTTCCTCTATGAGACACTTGTGTGACTATTCCTTTTTGGTGATTTCCTCTTGCCTTCAGATATGACTGAGAAAATAAATATAAATAAGAGTTGGCTTTGAATGAACAAAGGCCTCAGAAAGACGTAGGGGCTAGGAGAGCAGGAGCTTTCAGCAAGGAGCGGAAATATTGAAGAACGACCCCACACTTATGGGACCATCCCCGCGATCAATTATTGCAAGTAGTCGGCTTTCAGTTAAGAATCAACAGTCGATAAGTAACTTCCCAGTGAACACAAAAAACACCTAGAACATCTCAAACGAGACCTCTTCCTGGCACATTGTTCGAGCTCCACGGATTTGCTGCCGGACTTGGCACTTTGGGGCTTCTCAACTTTTGACCCGTAAATCTTTTTCTTGCATCCGTCAGTACTCAGTTCCATCCAAAATCAGGCAAATTCGAAGATTAAATATGACGGAAAAAAATAGATTTCAAACAACTATGATGAGGAGTTTAGGATTACAGTGAGCAACGCAGACCATCACTGCTGAATCTAAACAGTTGGTATGATGGTTCCCTACTTAGCCTAAAATGCTAGGGCATGGGAGGAGTGGGGAAATGGCGAAAGAACGGAGTGAAACGGTCAAAATCCTGCGAAGAAAAAGCCTCCGTTCTCAGTGACTTGTAAATCGATTTCGGACGAGTTTCCCGTAGGCATCTTACCAATCACCGCTACCGAAGATACGGCTGCATATGTGTACCCATGTATGCATGCAGCATCACGGCCGCTTCATACCAATGGTTTTGTTGAGTTCGTCTTTTATTGTATCAGACAGATCTGCTATTCCAGTCGTCAGCCAGATCCAAATGCCAACAGGGAGACCTTAAAGGCAACAATTGAAGCACTGTTGAATACAGAAGAGTTAAATGAACGTCTTGGCGATTCTTCTAGCACCATTTACCAGCGATTGAGATGGTTATTCTTGTCAAAGGGGAAAAATTGAGATTTAGATTGATGATGAGTGTTTTCCGTGCTTTTCATCTGCGCTGCGAATGCTTTTCGACCTCTTTATGTTAAC